AGTCTTGACATCGACATGAGCTTCAGTCATGGTCTGCCATTTTTTAACTATGGGACACATTTTGTCACGGGTGAGACCCATGCCGTGGAAGTTCGTCAGGCAGTCTTTGCCCTGAGCGTCCTCAGTATTTAGCTTGAATTTCCTAAATGCGACATCATCACTCTGCACATCTGCAGGGCTCACTTCAAACACACGGCCCTTACGGCCATCAGAGGCAGTGCTGGTTCCTTGGGTCCTGGTGACCAGTGTCTTCCCAGTATTTCTCACGTTGAACATTGCAGGTGCTCACGCCATAGCCGTCTCTTTTAGAAAATGGATCAACCAGTTTCTTCTTGGCTCCCTTTTTGCCGCCTTTCGCAAGGCACTTACTCTTGCCAACTGCCATGGTGCCACTCAGAGAGCCAAAAGGCGGGCCCAGATGACTTTTTAAAGGTACCTTTAAGTACTGAGATTTTCTTTTCCGTGATAATGAGTGCATGAGAGGGGGCCAGGAGGTGGTGTGGAGGTTGGAGCACTGGACTCCCACATGCCAACTGTGGTTCGAGCCCTGGGCCTGGTGGCTTTTTTTCTCTTGCTGGTGAGCACACATGTCCTATAGCAAATTAAAAAAAAAAAATAAATAGAATAATTATTTAGTAGGAAACAAAAAGAGTGCATGTGAGGAGAGCGAACCCTTGACAGGGCCTCATCACTCTGTGGTCGTCTTCCCCAGTCCTGCACTTCCTCAGAAACTTACGCACGCCTGTGTTTTCAGGCTGACCTGGGGTTCCGAGCTTGTGGCTGTCCATTGGCTTCAGCACCTCAGTTCAGTTCACTACCAACTGTGCACCAGGCTGGGCTCAGTGCAGAGGTTTCATAGGGGCTGAATTATAATAGTTCACTATCTTCTGTGGTTTTTTTAAAATTATTGATTGATTGATTGATTGATTGAATGAATGAATGAATGGTGAGGCAGAGGAGGGGAGGGTGCCCAGCAAGATTTTACCAGGCTGCGGTTCTCCCCCTCGATTTCCAGCCAACCAGATTACAGGTGCCTGTGGACACACCTGGCATGTCCAGGTCGACCTAGAGTCTGAGTTGTGGGCCTTCTCGTATGGCTCCAGTGTTGTGCAGCAGTACCTACCGTCAGTGCTGTGACAGGCAGGCAGTAGGTTTTTTTTTTTTTTGGAGAGGTTTTTACTATAGGGCGCGTGCACTCACCAGAAAGACAGAGAGAGACAGAGAGACAGAAAGCGAGAAATCACCCCCCAGGGGGGATGGCCACGCCGCAGTCCCTTCTCCATTCTCCTCTCGGGATCGTGCACACATGCCCAGCATGAGTTTAAGCCACTGGGTCCGGGACTTGAACCGTGGTTGACTACGTGGGAGTCCAACGACATAGCCATTACTCTAACTGCTGGTCCCAGTATTTGGGGTTTTAATAGTTAAATATTTTATTTCTGCACACACAAACTGTGAAGCATGGAAGTTTTTAAAGTACAGTGTGAATGTGAGTGATCCTTACAGCTGTGTAGGACATAAATTAGGACGCATGGCTGTCTTAGGAGAATGCTTCTCTAATTCACGGTGTACCAGAGCCATCTGGGGAGTTTGTTGAAAATGCAGATACCTGAATACCCTGCTCCATGTCTGCAGTCGGAGTCCCTGGGGCGTGGCTGACCAGCTTGCTCCGGGGACGTTGCTTGTGTATTTCAGTTGGTGTACCGCTGCTTTAAGATGTAACCTTTCTGCCACTTTTTCAAGTTGTCTGCTTGCATAAAGTATATTTAGAAAATCTTGACCCTTGAAATGAAATAATAATAGCCACTACTCATTGGTCATAGCCTTTGGGCAGGGCACTTTGAGTATATTTTTTTCATTTAGCCCTCATGATAACACTTCAGGATAATTACCACTACTTCCACGTTGACAGTCATGAAGTGAGACTCGGAGGCCCAGGTGGCACAGGTGGTAGGGTGCTGCTGACACGTGATGCCAGAACCACACTGGAGGCTTCAGTTCTGATCTTGGGTCAGCCTGAGCACGCCAGGCACATCCCTGTGTATGCGTGTGTAACCCTGCCAGGCACAGGGGAGAATCATGCCATGGCAAGACCTGTCAAGGGTATGTCTCTCAAGGAATGAAAGAAATAAGAATTAGGAGTTAAATATTTTGTCTATGGTAGGGCCAGCATGTGGTGTAGTGGTTAAGGTACTGGACTTTCACTAGCCAAATGCAGTTCGAGTCCCAGGCCTGATGGCTTGAAAATCATGCCATGTGTATGTGTGCAGGCCCAAAATCCTGAGAGGAGACTGGAGAGAGGAGATTGCAATGTGGCATGGCATGTCCCCCAAGGGGTAATTTCTCACCCTCCTACCCCCACCTCCAGTGAATATAAGCACCTGATGGCAAAAACCTTAAAAAAAATCCAGCAAGGGACCAGCAGTTAGCGTAATGGCTATGTCGCTGGACTCCCACGTAGTTAACTGCGATTCGAGACCCGGACCCGGTGGCTTAAACTCACGCCGGGCGCATGTGCGTGCATGCCCAAGATCCCGAGAAGAGAATTGAGGAGAAGGGATTGTGGCGTGGCCATCCCCCCGGGGGGTGATTTCTCGCTTTCTGTCTCTCTGTCTGTCTGGCGAGCGCACACGCCCTATAGCAAAAATGTCTCCAAAAAAAACCCAGCAAGAAGGTGGTAGAGTAATTTGAGCTCAGGTCTATCATTTTTAAGCCCCCCTATGACCGTGGAATCTGTTCTAAAATGTGTTCCACAGTGCCTGGGTCAGGAGAGCAGTGAGTTCATCTGAGACGGGGGACAGCGTTAGCCCCCAGACAGAATGTAGCCTTCAAGAGCAGGGAGAGGTCTGTAGGGCACGAAAGTGCTGACGCTGATAACTGGTCTGTTCCATTGACACCAGCGTGGCTTGGCCCCTGGCTTTCCAGGGCTGTCCCACGGGGAGTGTTCCAAGCAGAGGACCGTAGACCCTTCAAGCTGCAGGGAAGGCCTGCTGGGAGTGGCTTTCTTAGCTTTATCAAACTGGCAGAGTGAGCATTGTTTTCTGTTTGTTTTTGCTAGAGGATACTGCATTCACCATAGAGAGGAAGCGTGAAAGCACCCCTAGATGGGCGTTAGCACACCACAATCCCTTCTTATCTCTCCCTCCTTTCAGGATTTTGACACATACCCACATGTGCCTGTGTGCTTTCCAAGTCTCCAGTACTAAGAGTCGAACTGCTGTTGGCCATGTGAGATCTGGCGATCTGGCTTCCCTATCCAGTAACTAGTGAGGCCCGCAGAACACTGGGATCTTAACTCATCTTCATTCTTGTTTTTTCCGGCATCAGTCAAACAGTGCTGACTTTTTTTTTTTTTTTTTGAGAGATTTTTGCTACAGGACGCATGCACTCACCAGAAAGACAGAGAGAGACAGAGACAGAAAGAGAGAGATCACCCCCCAGGGGGGATGGCCACACCGCAATCCCTTCTCCATTCTCCTCTCGGGATCTTGGGCATGCGCACACGTGTGCCTGGTGTGAGTTTAAGCCACCGGGTCCGGGACACGAACCACGGTCGACTACATGAGAGTTCAGCAACATAGCCATTATACTAACTACTGGTCCCAAGCAGTGCTGACATTTTTAAAAAATGAAGAGTTGTCCTGCAGATGTAAATTGTCCCTGAGACAATCTCATGGCACAAAAACAGAGACAAAGACACAGATTTGGTTCACTCGTGTGCTGGTTATGAAAAGGAACATTAATTTGTTTCTTAGAAATAAAAAGAATTGGACCGGCAGGTGGCATGGTGGCTAAGGCATTGGATCCCACGTGGCTGGCTGATCAGTTCAAAATCCAGATCTGTCAGCTTGAAAGATATGATGGGCACATGTGTGTCCATGCCCAAAATCCCGAGTGGAAGATGGAGGAGAAGGGATTGCAGTGTGGCCATCTCTAGGAAAGGGGTGTGATTTCTCACTTTTCCTCTCTGTTCCTGGCAAGAGCATGTTCCCGGTGGCAAAAATCTGAATTAATTGGGACCAGCAGATGGCGTAATGGTTATGTCGCTGGACTCCCATGTAATAGAATCATGTCCCAGACCCAGCAACTGCGCCTGCCCAAGATCCCAAGAGGAGAGTGGAGGAGAAGGGCTTGCGTGACCATATCACCTGGGGGTAATTTCTTGTTTTCTGTCTGTCTGACACTCAGTTTCGCTGGCTAGCACATGTGCCCTGTAGCAAAAGTCTTTCTAAATTAAAAAAAAAAAAAAAAAGGAATAATTTATTTAGGGGCCAGCAGATGGTGTAATGGTTACGTCACTAGACTCCCACATAATTGACTGTAGTTCGATTCCTGGACCCGGCAGCTTGAAACTCACACTGGGCATGTATACTATGTATACTGTGTACGTATATGCCCACAATCTCGAGACTGGTGGAAAATGGATTGCATCATGACCATCTCCCCAGGGGGTGATTTCTTGCTTTCTGTCTTTCTCTTGCTGGAGAGTGCACATGAGCTGTAGCAAAAATCTCCCTCAAAAAAAAAAAAAAATTATTGGAACCAGCAGATGGCTTAATGGCTATGTCACTGGACTCCCATGTAGTTGACCACGGTTTGAATCCCGGACCCAGTGGCTTAAATTCACGCCAGGTGCGTGTGCGTGCGTGCCCAACCATCCCAGTAGGAGAAGGGAGGAGAATGGATTGCGGCATGGCCATCCCTGCTGGGGGGTGATTTCTCTCTGTCTCTCTCTCTCTCTTTCTGGGAGCGCACGCGCCCTATAGCGAAAACCTCTCAGAAAAAAACAGAAAGAATTACTTTTAAATTTTCTTGTTTTTATTTGGCCAGAGAGAGAGAGGAAGAAAGTGAGAAAGCCAGGTCATCAGATCTGGGACTCAAACCTCAGCTGGCCATGTGGGAAGTCCAATACCTTAACCACCACTCCACTTGCCAGCCCCAGTGCAATAGTTTTATTTTGAGGGTTTTGTTTTTTGGTAAACATACACTGTTCCTTCTAGAAATGTTGCAGCAGCTGCAGCAGCAGCTGGTGGAGGCGGAACGCAGGTCAATGACCTACCTGAAGCGGTACAACAAGATCCAGGCAGACTACCACAACCTCATCGGGGTCACGGCGGAGCTGGTGGATTCCCTGGAGGCCACGGTCAGTGGCAAGATGGTAAGGAAAGTCCCTGTTGTAGCTCTCCTGTAGCAAGATGATGAGTAGTTATGGACGTGGCTGTGTCAACATGGAGCTCCTGGCCTCTCCTGAGCCAGCGGAGCCCCCCGCCCCGTGTCACACAGCTGGCATGCCCATAGGGCAGTGCCGATGTTTTCGGCTGTTTTGCCATGTTGCTTGTAATACCTTATTTGTTTTTCCTAACACATTACGTAGTTCACATTTTTCCTCTGTGTTTTTCTCAGATAAATTGTCCACAAGAGAAAAAAATACTATATAATAGCAAGAAAATGATGGGGAAATGTCCCACTGGCATATAGGAAAGCGACTGATTTTCATATATTGATTTTGTATCTTGCTACTCTTCAAATCCTATACATTTTATAGATTTTGTTTTTTTAATTTCCGGATGGTACATGCACTTGCCAGAGGGAGTGAGAGAGAGAGAGGCAGAACGCACTGCCCAATGGAACATAGTCGGCTGTAGTCCCTCCTCCATTCCCCTGGCCAGCCGGGACTTAGGCACACACATATGTGCTTAGTATGTTTTTCATGCTGTCAGAGCTAAGATTTATTTTTTTAAAAAGAATTATTGTATTTAACTTTATTTACTCATTTATTTTATTTTTTAATTTGATCAGAGAGAGAGGGAGATGGCGAGGGAAAGTGAAAAAGCAAGCCACCAGGTCTGGGACTCAAACCGTGCTTGGCCATGTGGGAGTCCTGTATTCTAGACTGACAGTTATATCATCTTCAAATAATGCTATTTTTGTTTCGCATTTTTCATTTATATTAACTTCCTTTTTAAAATCCGTATTACTAAGATTTGTGGAACATTGATTTATAAACACTGTGATCCCGGTCACCTATGTCTTATTCCTGACTTTATAGGAACGATTTAGTGTTTCTTGTCTATAAAATGAGAAAGTGCAACAAAATCTCTTTGTGGAGATAGTTTTTAAAAAATATTTATTCATTCATTTATTTTAATTTAACCAGAGAGAGACAGAAAGTGAGAAAGCAAGCCATCAGGTCCAGGACTCGAACTGTGGTCAACCATGTGGGAGTGTCTAGCACCTTTGCTACCTACTGGTCCCCAATACAGTTCTTTTAAAAAATTATTATTTACTTAATTTTATTTATTCACTTATTTTTAAAATATGATCAGAGAGAGACACAGAAAGAGTGAGAAGGAAAGTGAGAAAGCAAGGCACCAGGTCTGGGACTCTAACCATGGTCGGCCATGTGGGAGTGTCCAGTGCCTTAACCACCACACCACCTGCTGGTCCCCCGATACAGTTTTTTTTGTTTTAACTTGAAGTAATTGTAGGTTCACATAGCACTTGTAAGCAACAACACACGACACCCCATTGCTTTGCCAAGTCTCCCTAGTGGTACTCCGGTGGAAAACCATACTATGATAGTCCAACCAGGGCATGACCTGGACACAGTCTGTTGATTTTTTTTTTTTTTTCAGATTTCCCCAGTTTTACTCAGACGCATTTGTATATGTGAGTGCTCACGTCTTAAGCTCTGAATTTTATGAGCAGTATGAGGTTTTTGTTTTGTTTTGTTTTTGAGAGGTTTTTGCTACATGGCGCGTGCGTTCACCAGAGAGACGGAGAGACAGAAAGTGAGAAATTACCCCCCAGGGGGAATGGCCATGCCGCAATCCCTTCTCCATTCTCCTCTCGGGATCTTGGGTAGGCACACACTCGCACCTGGCGTGAGTTTAAGCCACCGGGTCCAGGACTTGAACCATGGTTGACTACATGGGAGTTCAGCAACATAGCCATTATGATAACTGCTGGTCCCGTGAGTTTGTATATTAAAATAGTCTTTAATAACTTTAGAAATGATTACGAAATGATATGCACTGTATAAAATTTTAGAAAGATGAAATGATGTAGAAAACAAGTTCCCAATGATTGTGTCACTTAGTAACAAGACTTTTCATGTCCCAGACTTTTTCAGTACTTACACATATTTTACAAAATGGATTCTAGATCATACACTGTTTTCTTTCTTTAAAAGAATTATTTTATTTAACTTTTTAAAAAATAATTATTTAATTTTATTTATTCATTTATTTTATTTATTTATTTTTTTGACCAGAAAGACACAGAGAGAGAGAGAGCAAGAGAGGGAAAGTGAGAAAGCAAGCCACCAGGTCTGAGACTTGAACTGTGATCAGCCATGTGGGAATCCAGCACCCTTATCCACCACACCACTTGCCGGCCCCCCTGCTTTATTAATCCAATTTAAATTTGACCAGAGAGGGACAGAGTATGAAAAAGAGAGAGAGAAAAAGAAAGTGAGAAAGCAAGTCTCCAAGTCCAGGACTTGAACCACAGTTGGCCATGTGGGAGTCCAGCACCCTTAACCACCTTACCACCTCACTGTCAGCCCCCACAAACTGTTCTCTAGTTGACTTTTTTTTTTAAGGCTAAATGAAACTTCTTTAACGTTTATTTATTTCTCCCATGCATGAGAGAGAGACAGCACCCCCTTAAGGTCCTGATGCCATGAGCCACCCAGCCCCCATCCAGTCCCAGACTATGGCGAGTGCCTGCCGGGGACAACTGCTGGGCACACTCAGAGATTTCTGTACTGGGACTGGGGACCTTCCCGTGTGGATTGTCTCTGGGCATTGCTTTTGCCACTGTGCCACTGCCCTGCCCCAGAAAGTGATCATTTATGATCTTCTTTATTTAACAAAGATGTTTTTGGTACTTTCTGTGAACTGCATCAGGCAACAAGGCAGGGATCCCTGCCCTCGTGGGGTGGACATCTCAGTAAGGTGAAGGTGGAGAGCGGGAAGCAGACATCCCGGGGGGAATTCTGCTTGTACTGGAGGACGTGGCTGCTGCTCATGCCCTCCTCAGGTCAGGAGAGCAGGAGATGGAGCCGTGTTTGTTCTGACCCAGGACCTTGGGCCAGGCCTCCAGCTCTTCCCACCTCAGAGTGGCTGCCTGGTGACTTATACTCAAATGCACTAAAATGGCTAAAAAGCCACTCAGTTTATAGGACAGTGGCAGCACATTGGTGGACTTATAACCGTAGAAGTTGGGGCCATGTGGCCACCCCTCTTCTGTGTCAGCAGTTTCTTCTGTGGAGTCAGGGCTTCAGTGTCCCCCAGGCGTCCCGACGTTAAAGCTAAGATTGTATTTCTGGCTCACGCATCTCGCCGTGCAGCTTATGGAGACAGGCCGAGAGGAAGCCAGCAGTCACCCGCATGCTCAGCCGTCCGCGTGGGCTTTGTGCCTTTCACCAGTGTCTTCGTGTTCTCTGCAGATCACCCCCGAGTACCTCCAGAGTGTCTGCGTCCGCCTCTTCAGCAACCAGATGCGGCAGAGCCTGGCGCATAGTGTGGACTTCACGAGGCCCGGGACGGTGAGGCTCTGTGCTTGGGCAGGGGCCCCCTTGCGGTCTGTCCCCCAAGTTTAAAGACAGTGTAACCCAAGAGAATGAAAGCATGAGAATGTAACACTCAGGAGGCTGCATTTTGGTTGGCTTTTGAGGTTTAGAAACTTGCCAAAGAAAAAGAAAGCTGCTTTCGAAGATGACGCGCCCCAGACTGGTGTCCTGCGCTGCCTGTTGTAGCTGCTCGACTGGTGCAGGGCGGGAGTCTAAGCAGCGGAGGAAGCTGGAGTCTTTTCAAATTAGCTGCCTTGTTGGAAGTTGTGCAGTCTAACACAGGGGCTCCTTTTTATTTTTATTACTATTATTTTTTGTTTCATTCATTTTACTTGAAATAATTGCAATCTTACAAAAACGTTGCAAAAGTGTAAACAGGACCCTGGTCTTCCCTTTACCCAGATTCGTCAGCGGTCGGCACGTAGCCATTTGTGCTCGCCCACTTGCTCGCTCTCTCACGCACACACCATTTTCTGAACC